AAAAGGGCTGGATCATGGTTTAAGAGGTAGAGTGCCTGCCTAATAAGTGCCAAAGCCGTGAGTTCAACTCCTAGGATCACCAAAAAGAAAGGGGAAAGAAAAACAACCACAAACAAAAAAACTTTTAGGGCTAGGGCAGGCAGGCTCAAGTTTATAATCCTAGCTTACTTGCGTGGTAGACATTGGGGGATTATAGTTCAAGGTCAGCCTGGGCATAAAAGTTCACCAAACTACCTGGGTGCTGGTGGCTCACACATGTAATCCTAGCTTCTCAGGAGACTGAGATCTGAGGATTGTGGTTCAAAGCCATCCCCAGCAGGAAAGTCCATGAAACTCTAATCTCCAGAAAAAACAGAAGTGGCACTGTGGCTCAAGTGGTAGAGCACTAGCCTGAGCTGAAGAGCTGAGGGACAGTGTCCAGGCCCAGAGTTCAAGCCCCACAACTGACCAACAAAAAAAAGTTGATCAGACTAGCTGGATGCCAGTGGCTTGCTCCTGTAATGTCGCCATTCAAGAGGCTGAGAACTGAGGATCACTATTCAAAGTCAGCCCTGGCAGAAAAGTCTGAGATTTTTATCTCCAACTAACCACCAAAAAGACATAAGTGGAACTATGGTTTAAGTGGTAGAGTGCTAGCCTTGAGCAAAAAACTCAGGGACAAGCGCCCAGGCCCTTAGTTCAAGCTCCAGGACTGGCACCAAAAACATAAAAAAATAAAGCACATTTATTGAATCTTTGTTACGTCCTCCCTGCCTTCCTATGTCCAGACATGGGTTTGTAGCCTTTCCCCGGTGGGGCAAGGTGCCCTCTCCGAATCCCTTGCCTAGAATGTAGTAACTAGAGACCACTGTTTTTTTTTTTTTTTTTGGGTCCAGTCGTGGGGTCTGAACTCTGGGCCTGGTCGCTGTCCCTCAGCTCTTCAGCTCAAGGCTAGCGCTCTACCACTTGAGCCACAGCGCCACTTCCGGCTTTTTTCTTTTTGCTTATGTGGTGCTGAGGAATCGAACCCAGGGCCTCAGGCAATGCAAGGCAAGCGCTCTACCACTGAGCCACCTTCCCAGCCCAGACCACTGTTTTTGTAGATAAGAATTTGTTACACAAAACATTCAACAAATAGTAAATGAAGACGTTATACTTTATTTCTATTTTGCTCTTTTTTGTTGTTGTTGTTGTTGGTCGTGGGGCCTGACCTCTGGGCCTGGCCACTGCCCCTCAGCTCTACCACTTGAGCCACAGTACCACTTCCAGCTTTTTCTACTTATGAGGAATCGAACCTAGGGCCTCATGCATGCAAGGCAAGCACTGTACCCCTTCCCAGCCCTATTTTGCTCTTCTTTTGTGAGTTGAAATTACATATGTTCATAATGTACATTTAGATAATACCATAATCCCATGAAAGCAAAGACATTTTAACTTAAGTAATATAGATACAAACAGGTAAAACAGGAACGTTTCACTTTCCACAGTTACGAATCAGTTTCTCGGTCACATGGATTATATTCTTCTGAGTTGAGAAAAACAAGCCCAGGGAAGGGAGCTGCCGTGAGCTTCTGTGCGTCATGTAGTGGGAGAGAGAATGTGGCTTCTGCGGCTCTGCACACGAGCCGCACACAGATGCCCTGAGCACCAAGTGCTTCTGCCTTTACACTTGTTTTCCCTTGTGTCATCTAGACCAAGGCTGTGCCGTCTTTTTTCCCCCCATTACTTTATTGTTGTTTTAGAGGTGATATACAGCCGGGTTACCTTTACATATGTCAGTAATAAGTACATTTCCTTCTGCATAGTATCATTGTTCCCTCATTCTCTCCATCTCCACCCATGAGTTGTAAAGTTCACTGTCATCAGTGTCCAGTGTGCTGCACTGCTGCACTTTTTCACCCTTTCTCCTCTGATTCTGTGCCCTCCCACTGATGTGCACTGGATACACCATATATAAAATAAAGAATACAGGGCTGGGAAGGTGGCTCAGTGGTAGAGTGCTTGCCTTGCAAGCCTGAGGCCCTGGGTTCGATTCCTCAGCATCACATAAGCAAAAAGATAAATGCCGGAAGTGGCGCTGTGGCTCAAGTGGTAGAGTGCTAGCCTTGAGCTGAAGAGCTGAGGGACAGTGCCCAGGCCCAGAGTTCAGGCCCCACGACCGGCCCCCCCCCCCCAAAAAAAAAATAAAGAATACAGAGTCATCAAAGAAGAAAACAATTTAAGAAAAAAGTCCTTTGTTTCCATATCTTTGGAGTTTGTTTTGATATGTGTATTATTTTATATGCGTATGAAGAGGTGCTTGGGTATTGTACCTTTGTGATTTTCTCCTAAGAATCTTTTGGTCTTTCTGTATATGAGTATCTAGAATGTTGTGTGTTTTATTATGTCCCGTTGTGTTTTAGATCTACCGTCCACATATTAGGGAGAACTGTGCTGTTTGTCTCTCTGATATTGACTTATCTCACTTAACATGATTTCTTCTAGTACCATCCATTTTCCTGCAAATGACATTTTATTCTTTCTAATGACTATATAAAATATAGGTACCACATTTTTTGGATCCACTCATCTATTGTGGGACATCTGGGTTGTTTCTATATCTTGGCATTTGTGAATAGTACAGCAGTGAACATGGTTGTGCAGATGTCCTTATCATATCCTGGTTTATGATGCTCAGGTAGATGCCTAGGAGTCGTATGACTGGGTCAGAGGGAAGGTTTATGTTTAGTTTTTTGAGGAGCCGTCAGACTGCTTTCAAGAGTGGTTGTACTAGTTTACATTCCCACCAGCAGTGCAGTAGGGTTCCTTTTTCCCTACATCCCTGCCAGCATTTGTTGTTGGCAGAATTGAAAATGTTGGCCAATCTAACTGGGGTAAGATTGTATTTCATGGTTCCTTTATGGCCAGGGATGATGAGCATTTCCTCATGTGTTTCTTTGCCATTCTTACCTCTTCTGAGAAGTCTCTTTATCTCCCTTGCCCATTTAGTAATTGATGTATTAAGTTTGGGAGAGGTTAGTTTCTTGAGCTCCTTGTATATATTGGATATTAGGCCTTTGTCTAATGTATTGCTGGTAAAGACCTTTTCCCAATTAGTTTGCTGTCTTTCTAGTTTGGTCACTGTTTCCTTAGCTGTGTAGAAACTTCTTATTTTAATATAGTCCCACTTGTTGCGTCTCTCCCCTATCTTTTGTGCTCCTGGGACTCTATTCAGAAAGTTTCTGCCTATACTTTTAAGTTCTGAGGTCTCTCTTCTCCCTTGCAGTTGTTTTGGGTCTGACATTGAGGTCTTTGATCTACTTTGAGTTAGTTGATGGTACATGGTGACAAGCAGGGATCCACTTGAAGTTTTCTGCATATGGTTGCCCAGTTTTCCCAATAGCGATTGTTGAAGAGACTTTTTTCCACTGGGCTGTGCCATCTTATTGTCAGCGATTCTCATCCAGGTGTACCCCTTACTCATTCCTCTTTTTTTCCTGTTCTTATGTGTGCCCTCCACATGGATTGAATTGAACCAAAGCAGTGGTGCCACTGTACTGCTGCGGCTTTTCATTTTCTTACAGCACTCATTTGTTTCCATTGTTTCTTCAGGAAAATTCTGTAGTTTAGGTTAAACTGGGTACAGTAGTTGGGAGAATAAATGAAACAGTGGGACTTTAAAAACATAAGTTCTGGGCACTGGTGGCTCACACCTATAATCCTAGCTACTCAGGAGGCTGAGATCTGAGGATCACCACAGTTCAAAGCCAGCCAAGGCAGAAAAGTTCCCATGAGGCTCTTATCTCCAGTTAACCACTCAAAAACCAGATGTGAAGCTATGGCTAGTCTTGAGCAAAAAGATGCTAAGGGACAGTGCTCAGGCCCCAAGTTAAAGTCCCACGAATGACCCCCAAAAAAGGGGAATATGGGAAGTTAAGGATATAGAGACGTTTTCTTCATACATTTTTCTTTTTTTTTTTTCTTTTCTTTTTCTTTTTGTGTGTGTGTTGGTTGTGGGGCTTGAACTCAGGTCCTGGGCATTATCCCTGAGCTTTTTTGCTTAAGGCTAGACGTCTACCACTTTGAGCCACAGTGCCACTTCCAGTTTTTTGAGTGGTTAATTGGAGGTAAAAGTCTCATGGGGACTTTTCTGCCCAGGCTAGCTTTGAACTATCATCCTTAGGAGATCTCAGCCTCCTGAGTAGCTAGGATTATAGGCATGAGCAATGGGTACCTGGCTCCTGGCTCCATAAGACTTATGTCCAAAAGGCTGAAAGTGGAGTTGTGGCTCTAGTGGTAGGTTGCTAGCCTTAAACAAGAAAGCTCCAAGACAGAATTTAGGCCCTGAGTTTAAGCCCCAGAGCTGGCACCCCCCCACTCCAAAAAAAAAAAAAAAGACTTGCACTATATTTAGTGAAGCTCATTTCAGAATTAAATTGGGTCCTAGTTTTACATGATTATTTTTCTTTGAGTATAACATTTAAAGCTTTACTGTACTTGTCTTTATTATTCAGGTCCAGAATTCCATTTTCCTTTAAGTTGATTTCAAGTAGACAGACTACATATGTATTTAACACACATGCCAGTTTGTCCTTTTTAAAGTGACTCAATGTGTCAGCGTTGACAGTTATGTAAATGTTCTACATTAAAGCAGGTTAGATGCTATCGCCACTTACTGACTTGCTAGGCCAATTTGTATCATTTTAAATGTAACGCTAATCCTTAAAAAAAAAATGTCTTATTATCTGCACATGGCTGTTGTTGTAAGATGTTGAATGCATCGGGCCCCATAGTAACCAACAGAAGTGGTTCCACGTGCTGGCTCTTGTAAGCTATTAGAAAAGTCATTGTGTATAACTCTCTTGACTTGGTGCAGCATGTCAGTTTTGAAAAGCCACGTGCAAGTGAGAGATTTGGAGATTGGAACTAACGTAGAAAGCCGGGAGTAGCAAAATATTAAAAAATTATTCTCTGATGGCCTCAATGATAACACTTTTAACAGTATAAAAGCTTTGAATCCCCCTCTTTTTTTTCAAAAACAGACTGTGAAGACTGCGGAAAGAGGTTTGTAATCCGGTCGAATAAGCATAATAAAGAAATATTAGTCCTCATGGAAGAAGAGCAAGATTTACCAGAGCAACCAGTAAGTACTTTCTTTAACAATTGTAAGTTGATTGTAGAAAGGCTAACCTGAAGACAACTATTATTGAATAAGACTTAGAAGTACCAAATTAGAAATGAAAATAAGGAAAATGTTCCTTTAATAGTTTCTCTTTACAACAACATTGTTTCATGTTGTTTTGTGACAGAATTGTTTATGTAGTTCTGACTGGCCCTGAACTCTAAAATTCTCCTGCCTCAGCCTCCCCATTGTTGGGATTACATTACAGGTGCACGTTGCATGTTCTTAAACTCCTATTTAACTAACTTAATGCTAAAGAGTCTGTTTCTAAAAATCTGCAGTATGAAGTGACTATTGAAATCTGGAAATGGCATTTAAAAAAATTAGTGGCTAGTTACAGTTTTTAGAAAATAAAGCAGGACATTTGTTTATTAGATGTATATAACCATTTCTACAAGAAAAATATGTTTTATTTTTAATCTAAGATTTTCTAATTGCTTTCAGTTTCTAAAGAGTATTGATTTAAGGCGGGGAAGTAAGGGCTTGGTATAGAAGAGTTGGGTAAAGAAAGTTGCAGAGTATAAATTTTTTTTAATGTTTTGTTATGCTAGTGTTGAGGCTTGAACTTAGTACTGGGCTTGCTTGTTTACTCATGGCTGTTCTACCATTTGAATTTTGCCCTCAGCTCAGCTTTTTGCTAGTTAATCAGAGATTAATCAATGAGCTTTTTTTTTTTTTTTTGCCTTGGTTGGCTTTGAACTGCCCTCAGGGGTAACAATGCTTGATAGGAAATGTACTCATTACCTTACCCATGTAACTGTAACTCCCTCTGTACGGTATCTTTACAATAAAAGAAAAAGGAAAAAAGAAAGGCCTGGGTAAAGAGAGAAAAAAATTAAAAGATAATTTTATTGTGTTTTCTTTTTTCTTTTTGTCAGTTGTGGGGCCTGAACTCGGCCTGGGCGCTTTTCAGCTCAAGGCTAGTCCTCTACCACTTGAGCCACAGCACCACTTCCAGTTTTCTGGTGGTTTATTGGAGATAAGAATCTCATGGACTTTCCTGTTCTGGCTGTCTTTGAACCTCGATTCTCAGATCTCAGCCTCCTTAGTAATAGGATTACAGGTGTGAGCCACTGGCGCCCGGCTAATTTTATTGTTATTATTAAGGTGTTGTATGGAGGGTTTGCCCTTTTGTAAGTCAGGTAATGAGTACATTTCTTTTTTTGACAGTGTCACCCCTTCCTTTGCTTTCCTCCAATTTCCCCCTCCCATCCCTGCCTACAATTTACATAGTTCATTTCCCACACAGTGTATACTGAATAACATGATTGCATTTGAAGATAGCAAGGAGAAATTAGGTGCCAGAAACTACCAACTAGTGCTAGTTATTGATTGATGGCTACATTTTAAGATTATTGAAAAGTCCTTTCTGTATACTTAGGAAAAAATGTCTGTTAATTGATGGATGCCAGCATCTATTAATTGATGGTTAAAAGTTTTAAGATCTAATTGGTTAAGGTGTCTGTGGTACTGGAAAGCTGGAAAAATTGTGAAGTAGCAAGAACTAATGTTACCTCTTCAGTGCCTCTCACTAAGTAAGTTGCAGTCCCTCTCAGCAGGCAAGACTCTTTAGCACTGAGCAGCATCCTCAGCCTCTGCGTATTTCTTATTCTTGTTCCAGTCTGCTCTTCATATTCTTTTAACATAGAGGCTGTGCAGTCAGAAGGCAGAGGGAAGATTCCTGACTTATAGAGACCATTTTTGCATTTTTTGGAAGGTCACTTATGAGAATATAAATGAAGTCTTGTTAGTGTTACTTGCTAGGAGTGCCTTTTCCTGCCAAATCTAGGTACTAACCATTTGATCTTCTGTCCTTGTGATGTACTGTAACTAAAGTATGCTGTTTGGGGGCCTGAGGGCATGACTCGAGTAGTAAAATGCCAGCCTAGGAAGCTCTAGGCTGAATTCAAACTCAGCTACCACGGTGAGGGGTGGGGAATGCATGCTGTTTATATCCTGTGTATATAAGGAATAAAATCAACGTAATAGCCTTCAGTCAATATGGAATATTTTGTGTGTGTGTGTGTATTTTTGTTGTTGTTGTTGTTTGGCATTCTGTTCTATTTTGTTGCTGCTAGGGTTGAACCCTGGCTCCTGTTCATCCTAGGCAAGTGCTCTACCACTTGGGCTGTGCCACAAATATGTTCCTCTTTTTTTTTTTTAAAGTACTGCCATTTGAACTTAAGGCCTCAAACTGGAGAGGCAGGCCCATCAGCCATGCCCCTTCCTCTCCCCCTTGTTTTTATTTGGTTTGTAAGACTGGCTCTCAATTTTGCCAGGCTACCCTGAAATTTTTGCTCCTCTTGCCTCAGTCTCCTAAGTGGCTAGAATTACAAAAATTCATTAACACATCAGGCCCAATGTCTCTTTAGCTGCACAAGTAATAAAGTACTTTGTGTATGTGTGTGCCAGTCCTGGTACTTTTACTCATGGCCTAGGTGATGTCATGAGCTTTTCTGCTTGAGTCACTGCCCCACTTCCAGCTTTTTGGTGGTTAATTAGAGAAAAGAGTCTCACAATTGGCTGGGAAGGTAGCTCAGTGGTAGAGTGCTTGTCTTGCATGCAAGAGGCCCTGGGTTCAATTCCTCAGCACCATATAAGCAGAAAAAGCTGGAAATGGCTCTGTGGCTCAAGTGGTAGAGTGCTAGCCTTGAGCTAAAGAGCTGAGGGACAGTGCCCAGGCCCAGAGTTCAGGCCCCACGACCAACTGGGAAAAAAAAAAAAAAAAACAAAGAAAAAAAAAGAGTCTCACAATTTACCTGCCCAGACTGGCTTCAAACCTTGATCCTCAGATCTTAGCTTACTGAGTAACTAGGATTACAGGTGTGAGCCACCAGTGCTTGGCAGTAATAAAGTCTTAATAAAGTGTTCTAGGATGTAAGTGCTTCCTATGAACAGCCAAAATCAAAATGATTAAGTAGATAATATCTTGGCTTGTTATCAGATTTTCAGTGAGTAGAAATATATATGGCCATACGCATATTGCATTATATGTGCATCTGTTTTTGTATTTCATGGACACTTACATTTATCAATTCTCCCCCCAGTTCCTGGAAAGAAGGAAATCATGTCATCTATATGCAAATAGTGAAACTGGAGATTGTCATAAGTGAAATAAGTCACATTTAGATAAATACTCTTTTATTTCATATGTGAAATCTAGATTAAAAGAAAAAAATACATGAAAGTAGAAGAGAGACTATTTAGAAAGAGTAAAGAGACCAATGGGAGGGGACAAAGAAGCTATTGAAAGTGAATATGATCAAAGGTGAAGATGTCATAATGAAACCAATCACTTTGTATACTATAAACTAGAAAGAGTGCTTTTGCAAAAAACGAAAGGATGAGATGGGTGTAGGTCTCTTAACTGCTCAGGAGGCTGAGATCTGAGGATCACAGTTCAAAGCCAGCCCAGGCAGGAAAGTGCATGAAACTTTTTTTTTTTTTTTGGGTTCCGTTGTGGGGCCTGAACTCTGGGCCTGGGAGCTGTCCCTCAGCTCTTCAGCTCAAGGCTAGCACTCTACCACTTGAGCCACAGCACCATATCCAGCTTTTTTCTTTTTGCTTATATGGTGCTGAGGAATCGAACCCAGGGCCTCATGCATGCAAGGCAAGCACTCTACCACTGAGCCACCTTCCCAGCCCCATGAAACTCTTAATCTAGTTAACTAACCAGAAAGCTGTAGCTGTGGATCAAGTGTTAGAGCACTAGCTTAGGAAGGGAGGGAGAGAGGAAGGAAGGGAGGAAAGGAAACAGTTATCCTTTTTTTTTTTGGTAGGTTGTGGGGCTTGAACTCTGGGCTTGGGCGCTGTCCCTGCACTCTTCAGCTCAAGGCAAGCACTCTACCACTGGAGCCACAGCGCCACTTCTGGTTTTCTAGTGGTTTATTGGAGATAAGAGTCTCAGGGACTTTCCTGCCTGGGCTGGCTTTGAACCGCGATCCTCAGATCTCAGCCTCCTGACTAGCTAGGATTATAGGCGTGAGCCACCAGCGCCCGTTTTAGTTATCCTTATTTGTTAGTATGTATTAGTATGTTTTAGTCAGCCCTCTGTATCTGTGGTCCTTACCTGCAGATTTATTCATCTGTAGGCCAAAGATATTGGGCAAAAGATTTGCATTGCTATTAAACATGTACAAATCTTTTCCTTCTCATATTCCCTGAACAATGCAGTATAAAAATTCCATACAGGGGCTGGGAAGGTGGCTCAGTGGTAGAGTACTTGCCTTGCATGCCTGAGGCCCTGGGTTCGATTCCTCAGCACCACATAAGCAAAAAGAAAAAAGCCGGAAGTGGTGCTGTGGCTCAAGGGGTAGAGCGCTAGCCTTGAGCTGAAGAGCTGAGGGACAGCGCCCAGGCCCAGAGTTCAGGCCCCACGACCGGACCAAAAAAAAAAAAAAAAAAAAATTCCATACATTTGCCGGGCGCTGGTGGCTGTAATCCTAGCTACTGAGGAGGCTGAGATCTGAGGATCGCGGTTCAAAGCCAGCCTGGGCAGGAGAGACTGTGAGACTCCTATCTCCAATAAACCACCAGAAAACCGGAAGTGGCGCTGTAGCTCAAGTGGTAGAGTGCTCGCCTTGAGCTGAAAAGCTGAGGGACAGTGCCCAGGCCCAGAGTTCAAGCCCCACGACGGACAAAAAAAAAAAAAAAAATCCATACATTTTACATGACCAATTATAAGGAAGCTAGAGATGATTTCAAGTGTATAGAAAGATGTATAAGGCTATGTGTAAATATGGTATCATTTTATATAACATCCACAGACTTTGTTATGGGTGAGGGTTCCTGAACCCAATCTCCCACATATACTGAAGGCCAACTGCATTTGAGGAACTAGATTTTAAAGACAGGTTACTACATTGGTTCCTTCATATTTTATGTTTGCAGGTGAAAAAGGCCAAGATGCAGGAACCAGGAGAACAACCATTAAGGTATGTAAAGCTGGATTTTTTTAATGATGCATTTAAGTTTTTTTCTTGTGCTCATTCGTATATAGGCATGGTTTGAGTTGACTAGTTATATATTTAGAAATTATTGTAGTTTATTTTCTTTCCAAATAGGATCACTTGTTTTAGAGCATGGGTCAAAGTAGTGGAGTACTTGCCTACCAAAATAGAATTGCTTGAGCCCAGGAGTTCAAGACCAGGCTAGGCAGGGCAATATAGTGAATATAGCAATATGATGGAACACTATCTTCAAAAACTAAAATTTAAAAATTTCCTTCAAGCCAGACACTAGTGTCTCACGCCTGTAATCCTAGCTACTGAGGAGGCTGAGATCTGAGTATCACAGTTCAAAGCCAGCCAGAGCAAGAAAGTCTGTGAGACTCATATCGCCAATAAACCACCAGAAAACTGGAAGTGGTGCTGTGGCTCAAGTGGTAGAGCACTAGCCTTTACTGAAGAGCTGAGGGACAGCGCCCAGGCCCAGAGTTTCAGCCCCACGACAACGACAACCACCACCACCACCAAAATAGTTTTTTTTTTTTTTTGCAAGTCCTGGAGCTTGAACTCAGGCCTAACCACTGTCCCTGAGCTTTTTTAGTTCAAGGCTAGCACTTGAGCCATATCACCACACTTTCAGCTTTTTCTGTGTATTGAGGAATCGAACCCAGGGCTTGATGCATGCTAGGCAAGTGCTCTACTGCTAAGCCATGTTCCCAGTCCCCAAACTAGCTTTTCCTCAGAATACATGGGCTGATATTTTTTCTCATGCATTCATTATTTGTTTAATGATATGTAATGAACTAATTTTGTATATCAGGCACTGTACTATGTAGGGAAGATTGAGTGGTAAAAATAAAAAAGGCTATTTTTTTTTTTTCTGTTACTAGGGCTTGGATTCAGGGCCTAGGTGCTATCCCTTAACCTTTTCGTTTTTCATTCTACCACTTGAGCCCTATTTCCATTTCTGACTTGTTTTTCCCCTTCCTGGGCTGGCTTTGACCTGCAGCTTTCAGATCCAAACCTCCTGAGTAGCTAGGATTACAAGCATGAGCCTTGTTCAAAAAATGCTAATTTCTTTGGCCAAACGTACAGCCCACAAAATAGTAAACATAAACCAAAACGTGGAAATGCAAAGAATTCTACATTTATTGCCTAATGACATTTGTGACTCCTTAGTCATAAGCTCCACTCCTCTCCAGAAAGGAGACAGCTTCTTTTTCTCATGTGCTCTACCTTCCTTGACACCATGTTTTATTTAACCTTTCCACAGTTCTGACCTCCTTTAAGGTGCTACCAACTAAATAAGCTAGTAACTGCATCACACGTTAACTTTAAGAATGCTCTGCCAAGGGTTGGGAAGGTGGCTCAGTGGTAGAGTGCTTGCCTTACATGCATGAGGCCCTGGGTTTGATTCCCCAGCACCACAAAAGCAGAAAAAGGCAGAAGTGGCGCTGTGGCTCAAGTGGTAGAGCACTAGCCTTGAGCTGAAGAGCTGAGGGACAGCGCCCAGGCCCAGAGTTCAGGCCCAACAACTGGAGGAGGGGAGAGGGGGAGAATGCTATACCAAGCTAGGAGCCAGTTGCCCTCACTTGTAATCCTACTACTCAGGAGATTAAGATCTGAGGATCATGGTTCAAAGCTAGCTTGTACAAGAAAGTCCTTGAAATGCTTATCTCTAATTAACCACCAAAAACCCAGAAGTAGATTTGTGAGTCAAGTGGTAGATCTCAAGCCTTGAGTAAAAACAACAACAAAAACTCAGAGACAGCCCTAGGCCCTAGGTTCTGGGCCCAGGACCGGCATGGGGGTGGGGGGTGAGGGGAGACAGTGTCCAGGCCCTGAGTTCAAGCCTTAGGTCCGGAGCTTGCACACAGGAACACACACACACACACACACACACACACACACACACACACACACACACACACACACACACACACACACACACACACACACACACACACACACACACACACACACACACACACACACACACGAATGCTCTATATGATGTCTCACACACTTCCAGTTGAATGATATGTCATGTTTTTCTATCTCCCCCTCATCCTTTCCTCAGAAAGGACTTCAGGAATCTGCCATCACTCCCTTGCAAGCATTCTTGATTTCTTCCTCCTTTTTGAAACTATGTCATACTTGCTTATTAGCTTTATATGCTTTTTATGTAATATCATTATCTTCATAGCAACTGTATGAAATAGGTTCTATATCCTCATTGACAGTAAAGAAACAGGCAAGGTGAACTCCACAGACTTCTCTAGAGTCATAGAGCTAGTTGGCAGGGTGGAATATTAACTAAGCCACCCTGGCTCTATAGTTGTGCTCTTAACCACTATGCTATTCTGGTAAGAAAATGGAGAGTGGGACGTAGGAAAAGAAAAAGGGAGAACATTATAAGGAATTTGAGTTGGATTGATTTCTGTTCTAGAATCTCAGTGGCATGGCCCCACTATTATAGTATCTAATATAAAGGCTTGTCTTTGACATTGCTTACCTTTCAGAATTTATCTTAATTTCTGAAAGAAAGAAAGAGAGAGAAAGGAAGGATGGAAGAAAGGAAGGAAGAAGGAAGGAAGGAAGGAAGGAAGAGAAGGAAAGAAGAGAGGAATACAGAAACAAAAGAACTAAGAGCTGAGGCTGTAGTAGCCCCATGGTAGAATACTTGCCTAGCCCTCTGTGGGTCAATTTCTGAAGGGGGTGGGGAAAAAAGCTTTCTCAATGCTAGGTATAAAAGACTTTTAAGTGCAAGAGAAGAGTAAATTGAACCATTATTAGGGTTCAGAACGCCTGCTTAGAAGCATCACATATATAATATTTTTTTTGGGGGGGGGGGGTCTGGTCGTGGAGACTGAACTCTGGGCCTGGGCACTGTCCCTCAGCTCTTCAGCTCAAGGCTAGCGCTCTACCACTTGAGCCACAGTGCCACTTCCGGCTTTTTTTTCTTTTTGCTTTTGTGGTGCTGAGGAATCGAACTCAGGGCCTCAGGGATGCAAGGCAAGCGCTCTACCACTGAGCCATCTTCCCAGCCCCACATATATAATTTTTAAAAACTTTTTTAACAATAATTTTTATTGAGATTGATTATATAAATTTCACAAATTTCACAGAATTGTGAGATAGTGATACTAAAAGTCACAAACACATTTTAACCTTTACAAGGCAAATTGTCATTATCATTGTCTCTAATATTTGTGAATTCTATGAGCTTTGACAGTATAACTATTTCTTCTACATCCGGGGATACATACATTTCTTTCCTTTTGCTTAGTGTAAGCTGTTCCCTCTTTCTCTCTTCATTCCCTCCCTCCCATTGCTGCCCTTGAGTTGCTTAGTTCATTTTCATCCATATCCAGTGCAGCTGATGGGCCCCTCTGTTGTATTCCCTCTGATTCTGTGGCCTCTTATATAACTTAGCAAAAAATGGGTTTGAGCTCAGCATTTTTTGTACTGTACAAGTCTATCAGGCACTAATGTGTTATTTTGCTTCTCCTAGTCAAGCAAGCAACACAGATGTCAATGATCAGAAACCAGAAACATCAAGCCTTGCTTCAAACCTTCCCATGTCAGAGGAAAGTAAGTATTGTGTGCTGTGTGTGATGAAAGAGTTTTTCCTATGGCCAGGTGTTGTTCTTTTTGTGTTATTGGGATTCTGGAAGGTTACCTTGTGTGTGTGTGTGTGTGGTTTTGTATGTGTTCATATTTGTGCTCTTCTATAATAAGCTTTATTGACATAGAAGCTGAAGAAAAAATTCAGATGGAATCTGCTTATCCGAGAAGTCACACATGGTGATTTTGTTTTTGTTTCACAGTCGGATGTTCCAAAGGTAGTAATGCCTTACTCAAATTCAGAAAATCCCTGACTACTTCTCTGGAACACCTGATATTTTTCTGCCTTTCTAATACAACAAAGTAATCCCACGTATCAGTTTTGGCCAAGAAAGAAAAGCATTCCCTTGAGTCCAAGATTGATATTGGGCTCTGAGGGAGATTAGCTCAGGAAATTAAATTTCCATATACCACTACCACTCTCCTGTAAAACGTTATATTTATCCATTAAACAAAAAATTGATTTTAAGCCGGGTGCCAGTGGCTCATGCCTGTAATCCTAGCTACTCAGGAGGCTGAGATCTGAGGATGGAGGTTCAAAGCCAGCTGGGGCAGGAAAGTCTGTGAGATTCTTATCTCCAATTAACCACCAGAAAACTAGAAGTGGCACTGTGGCTCAAGTGGTAGAGTACTTGCTTTGAGCTGAAGAGCTGAGGGACAGTGCCCAGGCCCAGAGCTTAAGTCCCACAACTGACCGCTCCCCCCCCCCCCAAAAAAAAAAAAAAAGGTTTTGTATTTTCTTCTTCTTTTTTTTTTTTTTTTGGTCGGTTGTGGGGCCTGAACTCTGGGCCTGGGCGCTGTCCCTCAGCTCTTCAGCTCAAGGCTAGCACTCTACCACTTGAGCCTCAGTGCCACTTCCAGGTTTTTTCTGCTTATGTGGTGCTGAGGAATTGAATCCAGTGCCTCATGCATACAAGGCAAGCACTCTACCACTGAGCCACCTTCCCAGCCCCTGTATTTTCTTCTTGAAGAAACATATACTTGGTATAATGTATCCACTTATTTCCTTAAATTGCTTCCACAGGACAAGTAGTCTTCCTTTAATTAAATAACTACACCTTTGTGTAGTTTATCAAACACTTCTTTTTTGGGGGTGGGGAGGGTGACCATAAACTCAGAGCTTTTCACTATCAGTTTTTTTGTTGTTGTTGTTGATTGTGGGGCTTGAATTCTGGGCCTGGGCGCTGTCCCTGAGCTCTTCAGCTCAAGGCTAGCGCTCGATCACTTGAGCCACAGTGCCACCTCCTGTTTTCTAGTGGTTTATTGGAGGTAAGAGTCTCACAGACTTTCCTACCTAGGTTGGATTTGAACTGTGATCCTTAGATCTCCTGAGTAGCTAGGATTACAAGCGTGAGCCACTGGTACCTGGCTCACTCAGCATTTTTTAATCAAAGCTGATACTGGGGCTTAAACTCAGAGCCTGGGTGTTACCCTTTAGCTTTTTCATTCAAGTCTTATGCTCTCCCACTTGAGCAACAGTTCCACTTCTGGCTTTTTAATGTTTAATTGGAGATAAGAGTCTCGTGGACTTGGCTTTGAACTTCAATCCTTAGATCTCAGCAACTTAATAACTAGGATTACATATGCAAGCCACCAGTGCCTGGCTTCACTTCTAGCGCTTTTCTGGTTAGTTGAAGATAAGAATCCCTTGGCCTCTGTACATCTTCTTTATAATAACAATTGAAATTAAAAAAAAAAAATCCATTGGATTTGTCTACCTGGGCTGGTTTTGAACTTCAGTCCTCAGATCCTAAGCAGCTAGGATTACAGATATAAGCCTGCTTGGCTTATCACATACTTTGAAAGAATAAATAACAGATATGTCTTGAATTCCATATATTATTTCCTAAGGTGACTTTATTCTAGAGGTTCTCATGCTTTTTGCCTAAGATACAAGAATTGTCTGACATGCTTGTTAGTAATGTAGAATTCTAGCCCAACTTTGGAGATTGTTGCTTAGTACATCTTATATGGATGGGGAATCTGCACTTTCTAGGAGCTATTAGGTAAGTCCTTAAACATACATGAGACTGTTCATAATTGGGAAACTGCTCTAATGAATGAAATGTGTCCTGTAATTCCTTGGTTATTCTGTTCAACCTCAATAAAAACATCTATTCACTAAAGTCTCATAACTTTAAATACTTCAAAATGAAGAAATAAGTTCAGTTTTCCCAACTCCCTCGAAATAATTTCTCTTCCTTTTCCTTCAAAAACCCTAGTTCCCTTGATATCTATGAGTATACCTTCCCTTCCTTTCTTTTCTACATTAGTTTTGTTTTTAGACTCTGTTTTCTTCTCCATCCATACTTATTACTATTTGTGATTTTAACATTCTCAGCCTATATTATCCAGTATCTTTATAAGTCATTGCCTTATAAACTTCAAAAGTTTCAGTAACGTGTGTGTGTGTGTGTGTGTGTGTGTGTGTGTGTGTGTGTGTGTGTGTGTGTGTGTGTAGGTGTGTAGTTTTTGGCCAGTCTGGGGCTTGAACTCAGGGCCTGGGTACTGTCCCTGAGCTTCTTTTGCTCAAGGCTAGCACTCTACCACTTGAGCCACAGTGCCACCTCCAACTTTTTCTGTTTATGTGGTACTGAGGAATAAAACCCAGGATTTCAGGCATGCTAGGCCTAAGCCACATTTCCAGCCCTACTTGTAAATATTTTTGTGTGCCAGTACTGGAAATTGGACTCAACACCTGGATGTTATCCCTTATTTTTTCCTCAAGGCTGGTGCTCTATTTGAGCCACAGCTTTACTTCTGATTTCTTGGTGGTTAATTGGCAATAAGTCTGGGCTGGCTATGAACCTCGATCTACTCTGTCTACTTGGAAACATTTGAATTCCTTGATGAGTTTGCCTGTTAATATTTCACACCACCTGTCATGGTGCTTCTGTATTGGTGCTTTCAGAAGCATTTACTAACCTTACCTCTACTATTTGAGCCACAGCTCTACTTCTGGCTTTTTGGTGGTTAATTGGCAATAAGTTTGGGCTGGCTTTGAACCTCGATCTACTCCGTTTACTTGGAAACATTTGAATTCATTGATGAGTTTGCCTGTTAATATTTCATACCACCTGTCATAGTGCTTCTGTATTGGTGCTTTCAGAAGCACTTACTAGGGCTGGGAAGGTGGCTCCGTGGTAGAGTGCTTGCCTTGCATGCATGAGGCCCTGGGTTCGATTCCCCAGCATCACATAAGCAAAAAGAAAAAAAGCCAGAAGTGGCGCTGTGGCTCAAGTGGTAGAGCACTAGCCTTGAGCTGAAGAGCTAAGGGATAGCGCCCATGCTCAGAGTTCAGGCCCCAGGACCAGACCCAAAAAAAAAAAAAAAGAAGCACTTATTAACTTTTCCTCACTTTAAGTACTTGCCAGCAGAAAAGGAACTAACACAAAGAATTTGAATGAATTTACCTTATATTCTGTGTGGACTTTAGATCTAATTATGATCACCAGTTGTCAAAATGAATATAGATAAATGTGATCTTCAAGTTTCCAGTGATTATTTTTAAATACATCCAACCATGGCATTAAGATTTTCTATAATAAAATCACCAGTGTTGATGTGATACTCATGAGCATGAACTGGTCCTTCATCTGCCCTAGACCAGAGTTCCCCTTTTGAATCAGGCATTCTCTCAGGGAATCTACCTAAATAAAAGATTAGTTGGAAGCTGGGCACCGATTGCTTACGCCTGTAATCCTAGCTACTCAGAAGGCTGAGATCCGAGGAATCCGGTTCAGAGACAGCCTAGGCAGGAAAGTCCATGAGACTCTTATCTCATGGATAAATGGTAGAGCGCTAGCCTTGAGCTGAAAAGCTGAGGGATAGTGCCCAGGCCTAGAGTTCAGGCCCCATGATTGACAAAATAATAATAATAATAATAATTTTTAAAAAAAGTTCTGTCCTAGACCCTATTTACAATAGGATAGCTGCATTTATCTCTGTTGGACAAAGTATGGTGTAAGCATGTCATAATGTAACTGTTTTTACAACATGGATTGAAATAGTGCCTAGTGAGTGAGATTTAGCTAGCTGACAAACTGGAGTTTACAATATTTACCCCTGCCATAATCATGAGGATCCAGCCTGTACAGCAGCTCTTCCCAGATAAAGTTCTTCCCAGATAAAGTTCTGAAGGGTAAAGAAGTTGGAGAAGTCATTTTACTTGATGGTTCGTCATTTTCACAAGTCTGTCTCTTGTTTTGCCAAATTTAAAGTCTTTATATTATAAAGTAGAAAAAATAGTGTAGAAGCGTACTTGTACCTGTTCTGCCATTGATCATACACATGGTAGCAACAGTTTTTTAGTAGGACTAGGTATGCTCCCCAAATCTGTGTATGACCTTTCACTAGAATATAGTAAGCATCTGGAGTATGAAGAAGCAGAATGTGCTTTTCTGATCTTGCTTTCTTTCTAAGTTTGCTAGTAAACACACCTGCGAGCTTAGGTTGTTGCTTCATCTATAGTTCAGATCAGTGAAAAGAGAAGATAAAAATCACTTGTTACCACCTTTCAACTCTTTTCCATTTGCTCCCACCCACCGTTCTTGCTTCTTTTACCATTTCCTGTAGTCTTTAACAAATCCATAAACATAAAGGTGAGGTGTTTTCTGCTACATAATCTTTTTTACTTTCTAGTATCCAAGCTGTTTTGTGTTATTTACTTTGAAAGACTATATAGTTAGATACATAATATTCCCATTTCATTTTTGACATGTTCTAACTTTTTTACTTGGTGATATTATCTTTCTTTCAGTTATGACATGCACCGATTACATCCCTCGCTCATCCAATGATTATACCTCACAAATGTATTCTGCAAAGTAAGTTGAATAATTATATCCTCTATTTTTCTCTAGGTTCATTACAAAAAATATTTATTTTCACTTTTCTTTTTCTGCGTGTCCTTACTCCAATTTTTTTTATTCCCTCTAAATATAGTTTATGTCATTCTTTTAACTATATATGGTTGCCTAGAACAGATCACTGTTACAAAGTTCACTCTAAATGCATAGGCAATGGAAATGCAAAATAGTGATCAATCCTATTATAGATGGGCCTCTGATCATTCTCTTTCTCTTATCTTGACATACAAATAAATAAAAGCAGCTCAAGCTGATCTCAGACTGAAATTTAATCTATAACAGTGTTCAGTTTCTTTCTTTCTTTTTTTTGTCAGTTGTGGGGCCTGAGCACTGTTGCTGAGCTCTTTGCTCAAGGTTAGCACTCTTACCACTTTGAACCACAGCTCCACTTCTCATTTTTTGATAGTTAATTGTAAGTAAGAGTCTCACAGACTTTCCTGCCCAGGCTGGCTTTGAACTACAATCCTCAGATCTCAGCCTCCTCAGTAGCTAGGATTACAGACATGAGCCACTAGCGCCTGGCTGTATTCAGTTTCTTGTTAAAGGAATGTCCTCAAAGAAGAATTAGACTTAAAGTTAGACAGACTTGGTAGGTTGAAGTCACAAAGGGATATGTTTAAGTCTTTCAGGGTAACATCAGCATTTAAGACTAAAGGAGGTAGTTACCTCTGAGTCGGTTAGGTGCAGAACACTGTGATCCACATTTCTGATTATGCATTAACAAAGTGAGCCCATCCACACACAGACACACACAGGTGCATTCATTAGGCCAGGATATATTCTTAAGTACTTGCAAATGCAAGAGACATAAAGAAATTGGTGAGAAATATGTATAGGGCTGTTATATAAAATACGCTGTCATGTTTTCTCTTTTAGTGCCCATTTATGCCTTTTGAATTTGCATTGGTTAAAAAAATAAATGAAATCAAGAAGTCAACACAATGAACTTTTCAAGTTCTGATGTTAACCTTGTGCCATTCTGTGTAATTTTCTTTTATGAAGTGTCTAGGAAGATTCTTTTTTTTTTGGGGTCGGGTCGTGGGGCCTGAACTCTGGGCCTGGGCTCTGTCCCTCAGCTCTTCAGCTCAACGCTGGCACTCTACCACTTGAGCCACAGCACCACTTCTGGCTCTTTTTCTTTTCTGCTTATGTGGTGCTGAGGAATCGAACCCAGGGCCTCAGGCATGCAAGGCAAGCGCTCTACCACTGAGCCACCTTCCCAGCCCCATGGGAAGATTCTTAGGTAGAAAGGTGAAACGCATGAGATCCCTGAGTGTTCCAAGCCGTGTTGTGTCATTTAGTTTGAAAGGCTATTCAGTCAGGTACCCAGTTTTTCCCATTTCATTTTTGGAATGTTCTCACATTTTTGCCTAGTGATATTATCTATAAAGGTATATGGAAAAGAAGATAATAGTCTTTAGCATATCTGGATATTGGGCCATCTGAGGTCACTACTAGTTCAAATTATTTTTTTTGTTTTTGGTCATGAGGCTTGAACTCAGGGCCTAGTAGGCACTGGCCCTGAGCTTTTTTGCTGAAGGCTAGCACTCTACCATTTTGATCCAAGTGCTTCTTCCAGTTTTCTGGTGGTTAACTGGAGATAAGAGTCTCATGGAGCCGGGTGCCGGTGGCTCACCCCTGTAATCCTAGCTAAGCAGGAGGCTGAGGTTTGAGGATCTCTGTTCAAAGCCCGCCCCCCCCCCCCGGCAGGAAAGACCATGAGACTCCTATCTCCAATAAACCACCACAAAATTGGAAGTGGCACTGTAGCTCAAGTGGTAGCACGTTTGCCTTGAGCTGAAGAGCTGAGGGACAGCAGCCAGGCCCAGAGTTCAAGCCCCATGACCAAAAAATGAAAGTCTCATGGATCTTCCTGCCCTGCCTGGCTTCAAACCATGATTCTCAGATCTCAGCCTCCTGAGTAGCTAGGATTACAGGCATGAGTTAGCAGTGTCCTTCTTTAGTTTTTTTTTTTTTTTTTTAATTTTTTTTTTTTATTTTTGCCATTTCTGGGGCTGGAACTCAGGTTCTGGGCACTGCGCCTGAGCTTCTTTTTTTTTTTGTTGGGTCCAGTCTTGGGGCCTGAACTCTGGGCCTGGGCGCTGTCCCTCAGCTCTAGGTTAGCACTCTACCACTTGAACCACAGCACCACTTCCGGCTTTTTTCTTTTTGCTTATGTGGTGCTGAGGAATCAAACCCAGGGCCTCAGGCATGCAAGGCAAGTGCTCTACCACTGAGCCACCTTCCCAGCTCCCTGAGCTTCTTTTGCTCAAGGCTAATACTCTAGTACACAGTACCACTTCCAACTTTTTCTGTTTATGTGATACTGGGGAATTGAACCCAGGGCAAGCACTCTACCACTAAGCCACATTCCCAGCCCCTCAAATTATTCTTGTATGGCTTGCAAAACAACTATAACCTGAACTATTTCCTCAGATCTGGCTAATACAGTCTCTGAGAATCTACTGAGATGTGAATATGTTACATATTCCAAATTTATTTATAGTATATTTGTATACCTGGTACATTTAAGACACTTAATTATACCTTCTCTGTTAATTCAAACCCCATTACCACTTTGCATTATAATTATAATTATAGAACCATTGAATTATAATGATTTTTTTTTTTTGGTCTGAACTCTTGGCCTGGGTGCTGTTCCTGAGCTCTTCAGCTCAAGGTGAGAGCTCTACCACTTGAACCACAGCACCACTCCGGTTTTCTGGTCATTAATTGGAGATAAGAGTCTCACGGACTTTCCTGCCTTGGTTGGCTTTGAGCCATGATGCTCAGATCTCAGCCTCCTAAGTAGCTAGGATTACAGGTGTGAGCCACCACCTCCTGGCTTGAATTATAATAGTTTTTAAACTCAGCCTTCATCTCAATTTCACGCCCTTATAATCCAATTAAGTGAGCGATAGCACATTAATCTTTATTAAGAATAGCTCTATTCTTTGGTCAGCAATCTCATTGCCCCCAGTTGTTTCACATTTGTCTGAACTGCTTCAGCCTGATGTTCAAGGCCTTTGCTGTGCTTCTACCTCGGCTTGCTGCTTCCCTTCTCTTTAATACACCACTCGATATGATGTTTGCTTCTTGGAGTCTGAAGCCCTTTTTCTGTACTTTTTCCAAGGCTTTTTTCTTGTTTTAGAACTTCCTTTTCTCTCCTATTTATGTCCTTCCTATCCACTCAGTATTGTTCCTTTATTGTTCTCATTGCGCAAGATTGGAAAATAAAAACAAAAACAACCTTTTCCCATGCTAAAACGCAACCCTCTATATTTAATTAGAATATTTTTTCTTTTGTCACAGCACCACTTTGAGCTTTTTCTGTGTATATGCTACTAAGGAATCAAACCAGGGCTTCATGCATGTCAGGCAAGCACTCTACCACTAAGCCACATTCTAGTCCTTTATTAGGATTTTTATAGTACTTATAGTACCCTCTTTTTATTTTTGGTGCCATTATCTCATAATATACCAAATAAAATAACTGGCCATATAAACATTCAATGCAATAAATGGACAAAACAATCAAGTTAGCTACTGTAGAGTTCCAGGGCTTCACTGCTAAATTCTAGACCTTACCTGTCTTTGAGGTGGCTGATAGTATCCTCAGACTTATTTGTTGGTTAACCTGTCTCAATTTGAAGATCTTGAGACCCACCTTACCCCTGTTTTCTAGTGAGTTTGCTGCTGGCCTTTTTTCCATCAAATTCACCCTCTTATCCAAATTCTGACGTTGAGTTAAGGGGCCCAGGAACCTGGGTGAAGGATGAGACCCAATTGCCAAGCTTGTTCCAACCTGTTTTCTGTTACTTTAGCATTTTATTCTATATGTGGACGTAGGGCACAAATAAAGTATAATAATTTATTTTGTTTTTTGTTGGTCGTGGGTCTCGAACTCTGGCTCTGGGCCCGGGCACTGTCCCTGAGCTCTTCAGCTCAAGGCAAGCACTCTACCACTTGAGCCACAGGCACCACTTCTGGTTTTCTGGTGATTAATTGGAGATAAGAGTCCCATGGACTTCCCTGCCAGGCTGGCTTTGAACTGCGATCCTCAGATCTCAGCCTCCTGAGTAGTTAGGATTACAGGTGTGAGCCACCAGTGCCCAGCATAAGTGTAATAATTTTTGGCTCCTATAGTACCTTACATATAGCCCAACACAGATGCTTGTAGGTCAATTAGTGGAGGATGTTTAAGAATGTTACATTCTCCATAAAACTATTCTTTAGTTGGATGACAGTAGGACCTGGTCGGGAACAAAGTGTTGTACTTCCTGCCCTTGAGTTGAGTGAGGGTTTATTTTGGTGGCATGAGCTACTTCACTGTTTTTTTCACTATTAAGATAAGATGCATGAAAATTTTTGTTTTCTTGAATTTTTCCAGAACTTATGCACATATCCTCTCAGTTCCTGTTTCGGAAACAGCTTACCCTGGGCAGACTCAATACCAGACTCTACAGCAGTCTCAACCCTACACTGTCTACCCTCAGGCGACACAAACATATGGACTACCTCCTTTTGGTAAGGAATTCTACCTTGAGCAATTTTTAAGAATGTTGGTTTTATCCTCTGGAAACTTTTCTTTCCCCAGAAAGCAAACATGGCTGATAAGGATGTGTCACCCTTCACAGAGTAACTGAGTGGTTCCTAGGTGTAGGAATTTGGTACGTATCTTCCCAGCTGTGTCTTTGGTGTGTGTGATACAAAATCAGAGTTTTTCAGTATTCATTGTTCACCCACCAAAATTTAGCTATTCCAAGGTTTTAACTTTGAAGCTTGGTATATCTGAGTATCTGGTAAAAAAAAAACTTTCATTTTTGACTTGATTTACTTTGCATATGACCTGGTATTATGATCAGGTAAACATAAAAAATATAACTGAAAGTGACCAATTTCTGCAAAAACGAAGTCTTTTAAATGTCCAGATTAAAATGCCTCATAGTTTACTCCATTTTTTGGGGGGGGCGGTTAGTTCTTTGTTTTGATTGATTATTTTTCTCTCTTCCCTCCCTCCTCTTACACCCCAAATTGAACAAATACAAGCTTAGCCTATAAACTTATCATATACATAGGGAGTTCTTTTCATTCATTCAGTCATCTCATTCATTCTTTTTATTCCTTTTTAAATGTAGGAACTGTAAAATCAGTGAGTTACTGGAAGTTAGTTTGAGATTCTCTGGACATTGAATATCTTTGCTAATGTTTATATAAGTGTGTAAGTTGAGAATACATGCCACCTACTTTATTGCCCTTCTCTGTTCTCCTAGAACTAGTAGCAGAAAATTGAGAGGATATTATTTTAAAATATATAATATATTAATAACATTTTATAGATTTTGTAGATTTTGTTTAAGCAAGTTAGGAATTAGAAAACTTTTCCAGAGAAATTACATAGATTCTGGATGTGTGAGTATTGCCTGCTTTTGATTTCTACATTTCTGCTTTTTCTGACCCTCTTGGCTAGTACTTTAATGTTAGTGATGGCTTTCTTGCTCTTAGGTTTGTAAATATTCTTTGACTCTTGATTGCTGTCAAAAACAAAAATTGAGGATTCTCACCCACCTCTAGTGCTGGGTGAACTAGAGATGGATCTTGGGGGCTTGTTATGTCTGGACTCAGTTTATAGAATACCTAACATAATATCTCAATACCTAAGTATTATGATGTCTTTTATGATTATTCCTTTGTATTAAAAAGGAAAGGAGGGGCTGGGAAGGTGGCTCAGTGGTAGAGTGCTTGCCTTGCATGCCTTGTTACATTTTAAGAATTTTTTTTTTCTAGTCCTGGTGCTTGAACTCAGGGCCTGGGCGCTGTCCTTGAGCTGCTTTTGCTCAAGGCTAGTGCTCTACCACTTGAGCAATGGCACCACTTCCAGCTTTTTCTGCTTATGTGGTATTGAGGAATTGAACCCAGGGCCTCATGCATGCAAGGCAAGCACTCTACCGCTGAGCCAACTTCCCAGCCCAAGAAAAATTTCTTTACATGTCAATTTTTTTTTTTTTGGTGATATGTTCATTTAGATGTATAAAAAACCATTTCTTGAGCCGGGTGCTGGTGGCTCACCCCTGTAATCCTAACTACCTAGGAGGCTGAGATCTGAGGATCTCAGTTCAAAGCCAGCCCAGACAGGAAAGTCCGTGAGACTTTTATCTCCAATAAAAACCACCAGAAAACTGGAAGTGGTGCTATGGCTCAAGTGGTAGAGCGCTAGCCTTGAGCTGAAGAGCTCAGGGACAGTGCCCAGGCCCAGAGTTCAAGCCCCATGACTGACCAAAAAAAAACCCGTTTCTTTGAACTCATAGCCTTGTGCTTGCCAGAGAGGTGCTCATCCCACTTGAATCATGTCCCCAACCCTCCTTTTTTTTCCAGTCCTGAGACTTGAACTCAGGGCTGGTGCTGTACCACTTGAGCCACTTCTGACTTTGGTGGGTAATTGGAAGAGTCTCATGGACTTACCTGTCAGGCCTATGTTTGAACCACCATCGTCAGATCTCAGCATAAGTAGTGAAGATTACAGGTGTGAGTTACCAGCACTTAAGTCTTCTTTTTAAAATCAAGAATTTAGTACATTTTGTTATCTTAGTGTAGCCTACTTTCAGATTAGTCTGTTATTTCAGATATAATTAGGGCTTTGAGAAAATCTCATAACTTTTTGAAGCAAGTGCACTAGTTTTTAAGTACTTCAAAGTTCATGTTACTGTCTTATTTAACCTACCAAATAGTCCTTAGAGGTAAGTAATAGCATTAACCCTTTTGACAGATGTGAAATTGAGGCTAGATTAAATTAGTAGTACAAAGTCATGGTTAGTAAATATCTTGAATTAGAATCAAGCCTGGATCTGTTTATTTTCAGAGTGGTTTATAAATTTAGGTCTGCTAGCAGGGAGGCAGAACACCTTACATTGTAGTGGTCAGGAAGCAGTTCAGAGCTGTAACAGAAAACACCAAGGAAGGCAACAGCACCAAGTATCTACCCTCTACCCACTGATGTCCTTCAATGAGGGCCCTACCTTCTTCACTTCTCCTCTCTCAGTAATCCATTCATATCTTCAATCCTACAGTGGATTCAAGCTTGCTATTCGTCTGGGAATGTGACTTAGTGGTAGAGTGCCTAGAATGCATGAAGCCCTGAGTTCGATTCTTCAGTACAACATAAACAGAAAAAGCCAGAAGTGGCACTGTGGCTCAAGTGGTAGAGTGCTAGCCTTGAGCAAAAGTAGCTCAGGGACAGTGCCCAGGCCCTGAGTTCAAGCCCCAGGTCAAAGCTTGCTACCTAGATATATGCTTTACTAATCCCTAGGCATCTTTCAATTCAATCAAGCTAATAAGAAAAATTAATAATTACAGATGGTCTCAGAATTGAATCTGAAATGTAAACACTGCCTTTTCTTAAAGATAGGGAAAAGGAAAAAAAAGGGAGAGGAATCTAAGAAGGCTGTTTGAACTAGTCTTTATCAGAAAAGCTTATTTTTTAGAGCTTTATAATGAGCCAGGCAATGGTGGCTCAGCCCATAATCCTAGCTACTCTGGAGGCTGAGATCTAAGGATAGTTAGATGCCACCCAGGCCAGAAAGTCAATGAAACACTTATCTCCAATAAACCACCAGAAAACCAGAAATGGTGCTGTGATTCAAAGGGAAAGAACACTAACCTTGAGCAAAAGAGCTCAGGGACAGTACCCAAGCCCTGAGTTCAAGCCCCACAACCAACCAAAAAAAAAAAAAGAAAGAAAGAAAGAGTGGAGTGTGGGAAAGGTGATCTGAAAAAAATAAGTGTGAGGGAACAGGGGCTTATTTTTCTTCAGGGGTTCATACAATGTGCCCTAAGCTTCCAGTGTTCTGATTTGTTGGGTTTTGTTGGTTTGTTTTTGTTTTTGCTGGTCCTGCCATTGAACTCTGGGTCTCGGCGTTGTCCCTAAGCTCCTTTTGCTCAAGGCTAGCACTCTACCACTTGAGCTACAGCATTACTTCCAGCTTTTTCTGTGATTAATTGGAGCTAGGAGTCTCATGGACTTTCCTGCCTTGGCCGGCTTTGAACCTCGATCTTCAGATCTCCACATTCCTGAGTAGCTAGAATTATATGTGTGAGCCACCAGTGCCCAGCTCTGATTTATTTTAAAATAACTTCAAGATATTATGATATGAATTAAGAATCATAAAGATCATTCCATTTCTCTGAATAATTTCACTTCTGCAAACTGATTATAGATTTTAAAAAATTACTTATCAAGCTTTGAGTCATTATCTAAAATAGCAGAAGATTGGAACAACCTGCATATGGAATTGAAAGACATGTGTTAATTGGCAGTGGACTATAGAATGGGAAACTGACCATTCCATTATTATTCCTTCCTTCCTTCCTTCCTTCCTTCCTTCCTTCCTTCCTTCCTTCCTTCCTTCCTTCCTTCCTTCCTTCCTTCCTTCCTTCCTTCCTTCCTTCCTTCCTTCCTTCCTTCCTTCCTTCCTTCCTTCCTTCCTTCCTTTCTGATATAGGGAAATTTTTATTAGTTATCTTTTCTAAGATTTTTTTTTTTTGGTCAGTCACGGAGCTTGTACTCGGCCTGAGTGTTGTCTCTGAGCTCTTTAGCTCAAGGCGAATGCTCTACCACTTGAGCCACAGTGCCCCTTCCAGTTTTCTGGTAGTTTATTTAAGATAAGAGTTTCATGGCTTTTCCTGCCTGGTCTGGCTTTGAACCTTGATCCTCAGATCTCAGCCTCCTGAATATCTAGGATTACAGGCGTGGCACCCGGCTCTAAGACACTTTTGGGGGGTGGTCGGTCATGGGGCTTGAACTCTAGGCCTGGGCACTGTCCCTGAGCTCTTCAGCTCAAGGCAAGTACTCTACCAATTTGAGCCACAGCACTACTTTGGTTTTTGGTGGTTAATTGGAGATAAGAGTCTCACAGACTTTCCTGCCCAGGCTGGCTTTGAACTGCTATATCTCAGCCTCTTAATAGCTAAGATTACAGGTGTGAACCACTGGCACCTGTTTTTTGTTTTGTTTTATTTTTTGCCAATCCTGGGGCTTGAACTCAAGGCCTGAGCACTGTCCCTGAGCCTCTTGTTGTTCAAGGCTAGTATTCTACCACTTGAGCCACTTTACACTTCCAGTATTACTGTTTTTGTGTGTGTGTGCCAGTACTAGGGCTTGAACTCTCTAGATCAGTGTTTTTGCTCAAGGATGGTGCTCTGCCACTTGAACCACAACTTTACCTCCATCTTTTTTGGTGATTAATTGGAAATCAAAGTCTTACAGACTTTTCTGTCTGTGCTGGGTTCAGATCTGGATCCTCAGATCTCAGACTCCTGTGTAGTTAGGATTACAGGCATGAGCCACCGGCACCCTGCAAAAAATGTGGATTTTTAACAGTACAGATGTGATCTCAGTTACCACTGAACTGCTTGCAAAGCAGCGTTTTAATATGTATAGGTTTCAGTTAACATTCTTATGCAAAAGTGAAAATTGACTGTATATTTTCTGTTTGGAGAGACTGATTCCTCCCCCACCCTTCCCCCTCCTC